AAATATTGACAACACTAGACTTTCTAATCTTTTCTTGTGACACTTGATTATTGTTGCATATTCAATATCTCAAGAAGAATACATTTCTTTAGACTGAAATTTTCAGGGCATTCTAAAGGCAAATTTTTGGCTGAAATTTTCTAATTCGATTGTTTCATAAGTAGTTTATCAGAGATAAAAATTCATTAAAATTATAATAGTTTGGAAAGAACACCGCATGGAGGCTAGAGCCCGTCATCTCCAAAATTTTTGAATTTGAACCCAATTGTGTCTGCATTCGAGATCAACCCAACAGTTGCTAATGAAAGTAAATTCTTTTAAGTTTCTTCTAATCTTGTTGGAATCTACTTCTTGACAAAATATTAATGCGATTGACAGATAACACTTGAAAACGTTTCCTGGTAAAATGAAAAGACTTTGCTTCTATAGATCTCTAATTGTGACACATTCATTATAGTTAAGTTAGACATTTTTTTATTATAAAACATAGTAATTTCAATCCTGAAAGGTTCACTTTACAAAAACGAAATTTCAATTTTGTTTAATATATATGTTTTCTTGTTTTTTTTATTTTATTTAGATCCTGATGTTGCTACAATGCTGAATATTCTTGCACTTGTTTATCGTGATCAATCGAAATTTAAAGAAGCTGCTGCTTTACTCAATGATGCATTAGCTATTCGAGAAAAAACACTTGGACCTGATCATCCAGCTGTAGCAGCTACATTAAATAATCTAGCTGTTCTTTATGGTATATTATCAATTCATTCAATTTATTCTATATATATATATATAAATTCTTTTGATTTAGGTAAACGAAATAAATTTAAAGAAGCTGAAATTTTATGTAAACGAGCATTAGACATTCGTGAAAAATGTCTTGGTCCATTACATCCCGATGTTGCTAAACAACTTAATAATCTTGCATTACTTTGTCAAAATCAAGGAAAATATGATGATGTTGAATCATATTATAAACGTGCTATTGATATATATACAAAAACATTAGGTATTGATGATCCAAATGTAGCTAAAACAAAAAATAATCTTGCATCAGCATATCTTAAACAACAAAAATATAAAGAAGCTGAAATAATTTATAAAGATGTTTTAACACGTGCACAAGAAAAAGAATTTTCAAATAAATCTTCATCTCGTATTCAACAACAACAACAAGAAACTCAAAGTGGAATAACAAATGAAAATTATGATGCACAAGGTGGATGGTATAAAACAATTTTAGCTGATCAACCAACAGTAACAACAACATTAAAAAATCTTAGTTTATTATATCGACGTCAAGGAAAATATGAAGCTGCTGAAGCATTAGAAAATTGTGCAGCTAGAGCACGAAAAGATCCACAAGCTATTCTTCAAGCACTTAATATTGTTAAACAAACTAATTTAAATACTCAACAACAATTACCATCATCATCTATGTCCTGATTTTTTTTCTTTTTCTTTTTTTTTTTTTATGATTTTTTGTCAATCTGAACAGTGGGATATTTCTATTGATCATTCAAATTTTGTTTTTAACTTCATTGACAATTTGCTAATTTTATTAATCCATCATTCATCTTATACGCTATGTATATGTTTATTATATCAGACGCTATAAGCAGTAATATATAACACTAAACTAGCTTTTCAATTCATCTACTCAACTTATTATCAGTGTTAATTTAAACATGCGTATCAATCAAATTGCGTCAAAAGTAACACTCGAAATTTTTTTTAAAACTTATTATGACTGGAATTTTTGTTAGGAATGTATAGCTATTCAAATGTTTATGTGTGTAAATGACTTGAGCTATTTCGATGTATTATTACCGAGATATGATTATTGGAAAGCCATGTTTAAAAATAATATTTTACTCAAAGTTTTTCTCTTGAAGATTACTCATAAGTTATTGTAACGATAAAATGTAGAGAGAGAGAGGGATGTCATGACAGACTGAAGGAGTAGCTAGCCGTTACTCAGCAATGATGTTTATTAGCTACTTTACACATCCAAAATGTGTCTATTGCACATTCAACACAAGTTTATATATGATAGAGAAACAAACAGAGAGAACAATAGAGAGTGGAAGAGGAAAGAGGAAGAGCAGTGAACCATACGTATATATCGGCACGGTTATGTACTGAAGTTCACAATTCTATTGTAATGCACTACTAAGAGTGGCCAATCTGTGGTAAAAAAAATTAACTTCTTAAAAGTGTTTAATTATAGACATCAAGAATTTCCCATTATAGAATATATTATTTTGTGAAACACAGTATATAAAAGGAGGTATTAAGTATAACGGAATAAATTTTTTCTCCACTCTCTGACGTATTATGAATAACGTCCTTCATTATGGGCATATCAGTACATCGGAAGTCACACAACGAAGCATATGTTACAGAATTCCTTGATTTATAATATATATGCAGATCGATTGCGGTTCACATTTTTTATTCTATAGCGATTGCCTTGACAACTTTTTTTCTATTAATGGTGTAGAGTTTATTTAGAATTGTTATAACTCAAATTTTAACCATAAATTTTTATGATATAATAGGGAAAGCTTATAGTGCAGTATGTCTATTGCTTTTCTGAAGTTTTTTGCGTTTAGAATGGATAAAGATTTTTAAATGTCACAAGATAAGTAAGAATTATTAACAGAAGTTGCGATTTGGAAATAGATGAGCTAAACTATGAAGGATTACACATTGTGATCAGAAGCAAAGTCGAATACAGTTCAAATCTAAAAATAAGGTATATCTCAATAATGAAGTATGCAAATAGTTTAAGTCATTTACACATATAAGCATTTGGGTAGAGCGACATTTACAAAAATAAAATTCAAGTCCTAATAAGCTGTCGTTTCTGATATTAGAAATACGTTTAGAGAGTATTACATTTGACACATACGGAATAGTCAATTGAGATTTTATTTTTATCTATGTGATTTTTTGATTATAAGAAAATGTTGTTTTTCATTAGTACTACCAACATATACATGTTTACTTTATAAAATCTATTCATTGAGTACAGTTAACCAATAAAATAAATTGATTACGAAAAAACTCAAACAGAAATATTGAGCTTTATTCGCAATAAGAATTTCTTAATTATCGGCTCATTTATTTTTCCAGCTTTTAAATATCTGTATCTTCTTTTTTAAGATGTTAATAATTAAATAACTAATTTCTTTAATGAACATGTCTTTTTATATTATCTATCGATGAAAGACAAGCTATTATACTTGAACATTTATTTGATTTTCATTGGAACAACGAAGTTACATTACTCGTCAAAAGTATCACACACTTCCCTTCCCCGAATCTCAGCCTATATGAAAGCTCGATATCTGAAAATTTCTGTAGAAGTATTCTACAGTAAATATGAGTCAGCTATAGCATCGGTACCAAAATCGCTTAAGCTAAAACGGTGTTATAATGAATATTATACATGACCACTGTGAATCTTGTAGCTTTGGAACAAAAAATGATTTAAAGTCGGACAGTCGTTCATATTGTAGCCTTCCATCATATCTATTTTTGGTATCAGTTTTATCAAAGGTTGTCGAGACATTGATGAACTGGATCATTTCAGTAGTGCAAAACATCATAGACTGCTATTCACCGCTAAATAATTCAGCGAGAGTTCGATAAGTGGATTTAACATTTTTAGAAGATTTTCTATCATAGTTACTCATTGTGCTCTGAAAGTTTTAAAACGAAACACTATGCTTAACAGAAATAGAGTATCAATGACTCTTATGAACTTGTCAAGACTTTAGGATTTTCATTATTCAAATAAATGAACTCATCTTTAGAGCAATGAAAGACTATGACTTAGGCTACAACTTCATGTTAAAAGAGTCGAAAATTACTCATATAGAAGATTAAAAATGGTACACCATTTAGTTAAATCTATTTTTTACTTTTTTTTGTGCCAAAGTTAGGAACCATCGTTGTGGGTCAACATTCCACTTATCAAATCGTTGCGAACCATTCGAAGTTCTTAGAAAGCAGTGAAATCTAGTTGTGGCCAACAGGTCATGTGATACAGGGTGTAAAACCGTTGATAGTTATACAAAAACCAACTATAGACAAATTAAATTATGTCATTCTCTAATAACTACTTTCCCTTTAGTCTAAGAAATGAACATCTAGATGGTTCCTATTATTTCACGAAACTCTAAATCATTCGCAACGGTTTAATAAGTAAAATGTTGGCATACAAAGATGTTTCCTCATTTAAGCAGAAAAAAGTAAAAAATAGACTTAAGTAAATGGTATACCATTTTTAATCTTCTATATGAGTAATTTTCGATCTTTTAGCAAGAAGTAATATTCTAAGTCATAGTCCTTCATTGCTCTAAAGATAAATTCATTTGCTTGAGTAATGAAGACTCTAGAGCTTTGACAAATTCACAATAGTCATTGATGCTCTATTTTTGTTAAGTAGAGTCTTTTTCTTCTAAAATTTTCAGGTCGATCTATCAGTTTCTCGCTGAACTATTTAGTACTCAATGGCTGCCTATGGTATTTTGGACTGTTGGAATGGCATCATTCATTAGCGGCTAGATGGACTTTGATAAAATTGATATCAGAAATAGCTGTAGTGTAGAGCTGCAATATAAGTAGTTACTCGACTTTAAAATCTTTTTTTGTTCTCAAGTTACGAGATTTACAGTGACCATGTATGCTATCTATTATAACGCCGTTCTAGCTTCAGCAGTTTTAGTACTGATGGCATAGCTGATCTTCATTTACTGTAGAATACTTGCACAGAAATTTTCAGACGTTTAACTCTCATATGAACTAAGATCCGAGAGGAAATACTTCTAGTCAGTAGTGTAGTTGCTCTATGAATACGAATAAATATCATTAAAAAGTTAAGTAAATTAATTTTAGTTAAGTCTGACAAAGTTATAAAAAACAAATAAATTGAAAAAAATGTCGACAAGTAAAAAAAATAAATAATAATAAAACAAAAGTGATTTAATTTATTATTTTTTTCGTTCACAAATATATTGAATAAGGTCTCGCATTGTACCAGCTTGTGGCCATAAATCATTCAGAATCGATTCTACTTGTTTTCTTATATTTACAATACGATTTCGTGTTCCTTTAACACCCAATAAACTTATATAAGTTATGGTTTGATTTTCTTGATCAATATTGATTTTTTTTCCAAGTTCATCTGTATCACCTTCAACATCAAGTAGATCATCTTTCATTTGAAATAAAATACCCATTAATCGACTAAGTTCACGAAAACGATCCAATGGTTGGTCTTGTTTAGCAAGAATAATTGGACAAATAATAGCAATTTCAATAGCTTTACCAGTTTTTAAATAAGCTATACGATCAAGTTCATCAATTGTTAATGATTTTTTAGTTCTTGAACATTGTAAATCAAGAAATTGTCCATGGCAAAGTTCACTCATTGATTGTGCTATTTCAGCAACAACTTCATTTATACTTTCATGTGAAAAATTTTCTTTTTGAAGATCAACAGTAACTAATCGAATAGCATATGCAATGAGATTTACAGCACTTAATTGAGCTCGTCCTTCAGTTAATGATGGTGGAATAATATTATGATCACTGTCAATCATCATATGCAGTGTTGGTTGACCTCGTCTCAATGGTGCATTATCTTGTGCTGGAAGATCATCGAATATTAAACTACTTGTATGAAGATATTCAAGAGCTCGAGCAACTGGTAATACACTTTTAATATCCATATTATAAAGTTGTGCAACCATAAGTAACAGTAAAGGTCGTAAACGTTTTCCACCTGCTTTTAAACTATAATTCATACCATGAACAAGTAAATTATTATCATCTGTTTCTATTGATAATTGTTTTTCAATCAATGGTTGACAATCATATACAAATGTTTCGAGTTTTCGATGATTAAGAGAATAATTATTTGCAAATATATTAACATAACGAAATACTGCTTTTTCAGGATCACTAATACGTGGAAATAAATATTCTAATGAAAGAAAATATTTATATAATTTCGGATATGATTTTTCTGTAAAGATTGTAATAAATTTATTAAAATCATTTCCAAGTGAACGTAATGTTCTCATTATTCGTCGTCCTAAAAATGCACCTGTATTCTTTCGACGATTACTTTCTATATAAAGATCTTCACAAACGAATAAAAAAACAAAAAATGGATTAAATGATGAACCATTATGTTGAACATAATATGTTACAGGTGTTATTGATTTTGCTTGATAATCTTCATTAAAATCTCGACAATCATCTGTTAATTGTCCTAGAAAAGGTGTTATCCATAAACGTTGATGATTTTCAATTATATTTGCTCCACCCATAAAAGCTGTTGCTGTATAAGTAAAATGAGCTTTTAATAGAGGACCTAAAAAAAGATCAATATCATTATAATTGGATTTTTCTAAATCTTTTTTATCTAATCGTTGTGAACGAAGAAGTAAAGCAAGATCAGTAAATGTTTGATCAGTAATTGAATTTGTTGATGTAAGTTGACCAAGACTATGAAATGTTTCAAGTAGAAGTGGAATAATTGGTAATTGAGGTAATGAAGATGTATTTAATTGATCACCACATAAAATATCTTCTGCTTTTTCAAGCCATTTATCAACATCAAATTGTTTTTGTTGATGATTTTGATTATCTTGAAGACCATCAACAAGAGCATAAGCAATACCATAATAAAAACCCATTTGAAGTGCTTGAAAAAGTTTCTTATCAAGTTCATCTTGTTCATTATTTATAGTAAAACTAAATAATCGAGAAATACCAACACCAATAGTCGTACGTACAAGTCGACTAAAAGCACCTTGATTTGTAAGATTAATTGGCAATGTTTCTAATGATATTTTCCATTTTTCTAATAACCATGTCCATTCATCAATATAAATAGTTGGTGAAAGAATATATTCTTTTGGTAAATCAGAATTAAATGGATTAAATAATGATAATGGTGAAAAATATTCAGATGAGTTAGTGGCTTTTAATAAATAAACAAGTTGAGAAATTGTATTGAGAAACATATGAATACGAACTATAAATCGATCACTTATAGACTCGTCAGCATTATTATTTTCATCGTCTACGGAATGTCCAAAACGTAATAGCTAAAATAAACGATTAAATATGCGTCAAAACAAATGTCAATGAAATTTCTATGTTAGCACTATTGTTTGTTCGTTTAATAGAGACTATAGATTAAGAGATATGAGACAATAGATAGTTGAAATTGTTTGAAAAAAAATTTAACAAATACCGATCTTGACACTAGTTTCTGCCTCCATATGTATCACTTTAGTGGAAGAAGATATTAATAACAATATATTAGAGTTCGTATCTAATCTCCAAAGTTATATGAGAAAGAAAAATTGCCAAAGTTTGGACAGGAACTAAGAGAGAAAAAGTTGCCCGAATTTGAACTGAAGATTATAGTTAAATGTTCTATGGTTTTTCAACGAATTATCTTGTAAATCATATCAATCGAAATATAATTGAGGAGAGACGATAAAAAACGAACTATCCATCGACTAAAGAAATTAAAAAATGAGTACTTAGGCACTTTTTTTTTAGATATTATATAAATAAATTCTGAAATAGCTTTCTCTAGATTGGGATCAAATCAAAGTCTCGAAACTGTGAAAAAGAACTTATTGGAACTGAAACCAAACAGATATGCTAGAACTATGGCCGTGATTATTGAAAATTGAAGTTACCGGGACTAAAAAGAAGTTTAGTTTCACACTAGAGATGTGCGAAATCAAGTTTTTCTTGTTCCAGTACCTTTTTTCTTTTATTGGTCCCGATCATAGCCCCAGTAAATCGGGTATAGTCCCGATACATTTTTTTTCTAGTGATTCCGGTCTCAATTTTGGTCTCGGTCTATAAAATTCTATTCTAAACTTATTCGTACCATATTTAAAAAAATTCTTCAGCACACATTGGGACAACTTTTTTCCGGTGATCCTGCCTTGGTCACTGGAACCGAGACTAAAATTGGTCCCACACATCTCTATTCATATGAGATACTAATATTAAAGATCTTCGGGTACAATTCTAATTAATTGTTACATCGGGTTAATGTTCGACTTTTTATTAGAAGATGAATAGGAAGTACTACTGTATGGTTATTGTTGCTATTTTTTTTCCTGATAGCAAACAAAAATATGTGACAGACAAATTTGAGATTTAGGCAAAATTAAACAGAATTTCTAAAAGTTTTAAAAATTAAAAAAATCGAAAAAGATAAGAATAAAAAATTGATTTTGTATATCTATATTATTTTCAACTTTATTTTAAAGTTGACTAATTCTAGGAAGTTGTAATGTTTGTGCATATATTCATTTTAAAGTTGACTAATTCTAGGAAGTTGTAATGTTTGTGCATATATTCATTTTAAAGTTGACTAATTCTAGGAAGCTGTAGAGGTCGCAAATGTATTCAATTGAAATAAAGTTTATCTTTCCAAGTTTAGATTAAAAGAAAAGAAAGAATATGTAAGCTTATACTTTTTGAGTAGTATTTTTTTTTATAGATGTTTATTTGTTGTTGACTTTAACTTGACACAGATGATATGTGAAGTATAAATATATGATACTGTTAAGTTTTATTGAATTATTTTTCAACCCAAATAAATGAAGAATTTTTTAGCTTACGTGTTCTCTATAGTAGAGTAATAACTGCCTTTTCTTAGAATTAAATACTCTAAAAATTTAAAATATTACTTCATTTATTTATAAAAATACTTTTGAAAATCATTTTCCGATGTCGATATGGAAGAAATCATCAACGTATACATTACAATATTAATAAGTGAAAAAAATACTCTGTCTAGATAAAAATAAGGCAGGTACATGGTATATTTTGTTGATATAAATGAAAATTAGAATTTATTTTTAAATAGAAGAAAATTATTTCGTAGTTTTATGCTTAATTAAAAAACGAATTCTATCTGTGACAAATATCTAGACAATTTATAAAAATAAATACTAACCATAAAATCATCGGCTAGATTGTGAAGAGACATTGAATATGATTGTTTACTTTTGAGAATAAATGTTGCTTTATCAAGAATATTTGATGATAATGATGCTTGACGAAATTCATCTTTTTTTGGTCTTTTAATCATTTGTTCCATTCCAAGTTCAATCATTTCTTGAACTAATTCTAATTTAGGATATTGACGTTGTTTATAATTATCAAGTATTTTTGTTAAATATTCTCGTCCAAAATGTTCTACTTCTTGAAATTTTTCATTTAAATGAATTTTTTTTTGATTTTTTAATATAAGTTTATTATCTTCAAGTTCTTTTGGTGTAAATTTTTCTATAATATATTTTTGATATCTTGATAAAAGTTTTTCATCATTATCATTTGCATTCTTTAATAGAACTTTTTTTGCTTGTTGTAATTGTAATTGTTTCCATTGATTATCAATATTTTTTGATGAAAAAAATTTATCTGTTGTAAGAAAATGTTCAAGATTATCTTGTGATTGAAATAATAATCGTAATTGTGATATATGTGATTGAATTTGCTCAAGAATTTCATCAATCCATTGATGAAGTTTTTCTTTGGATACAGTATTTGGATCAAATTGTTTCGATAGAGGTTTAATATCATGTTTTAAACGTCGACGAATATGAGAAAGAGATGTTGAACATAAAATATTGATTGTTTTTTTCTTCGAATATTCTTCTAATTTTCTAAAAACATAAGCTTCAACTTTTTGTCGTTGTTTATTTTGATTATTAACATGATGAATATCGGAATTCTCGTCTAACTTAATTGGACAAATATTACGATGACCAGATAATGGTACACAACAATTATGTACATTATTTGTTTTGGGTACAAGTTTAACTGTAATAAATGAAAAGAAACATAATATAACCGTTTTTTTTTCTAATAGAAATATGTGAAAGAACGCCTACCTTCAGGCTGCATGACAAAAAAAATTTCGTTGTTGACAGTTAAATGTGTATTGTTCGCTCGAAATCGAAAGAATAATGGAGAATACAAAAAGTAAATGATTCTATTTTTTGATTTTTCACGCTTTACTTCTTGTTTTGCCTCCTCTTATTATTCAGAATATGACAGATCTTAATAAGTATACAACAAGTGAATATATTGACTGCGTATTTATATAGCGGCTAGTAATTGCATTACTTTATAGTTAAAAAAAAACCAACTTTTTACTTCCGATATTAGTCATAATAATTCATATCATAAAAAAAAGACGTCAACAATAGACAAATCTTAATTTTATGCGCAAATGTTTATAAAAAAAACGTATGATGACGTAACAACCAACATCAAGTGTAGGAAGAATTGTTTGAAATGATAAGCATGGTAATATTTACTTATTTGATGTGATATTGCTGGCAAATACCAATGAAAGTATTAAAAAAAGTTCTACTTCTTCAACAATTTAATGTTTACTTGATCATTTTCTCAACAAATCTTTATATATTAAGAATCAGCTTTTTATTGCTAAAACGAGTTATCGAATCAAATGAATGACAATATTTTAAAAATGAAATCATTTTTAACGTCTTCCTTTTCTCTTAGCCGCAGCGGATTTGCCTGGTGGTGGCGTTGGTTTTGGTTGAGTTGATGTCGAACCCGATGCACCTGGTGTTGTTTTTGATGATGGCATAGATCTTTGAGCTCCTGTTGATGTTGTTATAGTAGTAGTAGCTGATTGATCCGATCCAACTGCACCTTGTGTACCTTTGCCAACAGCAGCTTGTTTACCACGTTTTCCTCTTTTACCACGATAATATGAACGTTCACGTAATGGTAACCAACGTTCAGGATCAGGTTTCGATAATGGATCATATTTCTTTGGTAAATGAGCTTAAAAATAAAAAGAAAATATTGATTTTTCTTTTCTACTGTTATTAATAATTATGATGTAATAAAATTACCTTTTCGTTTTCGTTTTTTCTTTTGTTTTGTTGTAGCCGTTGTTACTGTTGTAGTTGTTGTTGAACTTGAATCACCTACTTTTATTCTTTAAAATTAAAAGAAAAAAAATATATTCATTTAATGTTTATCATTAGAAAATAATTGAATTACTTTTCAATTGTTTTTTCTGCTTTTGGTACTCGTTTACCAAATGTTGATTCAAGCATATCAACATCAATACCTTCAGCTAATTGTTTAATTGATGGTAATTTTTGTGCTAATAAATTAGCTCGTTCAGGATCTGATTTTAAATAATGAACAATTAATTTTGATAATGTATTTGTATCATTTGGATAAAGTCTAACACCAAAAGCAAAAGCAAAATTAATTAATTTCAATTAAAAAAAAAATCAATACTTATGAAGAATTTCAAGCATTTCAGTAACTCGTTTTCCATTGCCTTGTTTTTCTTGATAAATTATATTTTGTTTAATTAAATATGCAAGTGCACGTGAATTTTTTCCTTTAGTTCGATCAAGATTATATAAACGATCAACAGCTTCATTAAGAACTTGTGCAGCAGATTTTGAATCTTCTAAATAATTATAAAGTGTAACTAATGTTGCTACCTAGCAGAAAAAAAAAGAATTTGCTTTTTAGAAAATAATATGAAAAAGAAAAAAAAACAACTATTCATACAATGCCCGGTTTAACTAATAATTCATCATCACTTCTTAAATAATCACATGCTTGATGAACTTTTCCTAAAGTTATATTTTAATAATAATATATAAAGATTAAAAATATAAGTATAAAAACCTTGTGAAAGAAGAAGTTGAACATATGTCAAACGACAATAAAGTGAAATACGTCGTTGTTTATCACTTTCAATAAATTCCTAGACGAAAATAAAAAATTAATTTGCATCGCTTTCCTTGTCTTTGCTATTTTTTTGTGAAACACGATCTAAAAGGACTGTTGAAGTATATAGGGTGTAAATTTGGATTCACTCATCCACACGGATCGTTGTAGACATTCTGGTGTCCCATCACAGACTATAATAGACGCGTTATAGGAATTTCGAACCGGATCGCAATTCCGGCAAGTTTTCGGTCCAGGTCAAAAGTCATGAAGAACTTTAGGTCCAGGCTTAAACTGACCTCATTAACCTCTATAAAAAGCCTTATTTCTTTAATTAGTTGCTAGAATCCATAGTGTTGAGCAGTATACATTTTGATTAAGATGTACTACTCAGCGCTAAGGGATGGAACAATTAATTAAAGAAATAAGGTTTTTTATAGGGGTTAATGAGGTCAATTTAAGCCCAGGCCGAAAATTCTTTGAGCCAAAGTTCCAGTCTCTCTGATAGATATCCTGGCGACCCATCACAAACTGTGACAGGTACTTTAGCAATTCTCTCCTTGAGAGTATGAATAATAGGTATCAGAGGTCGAATTGAACCGAGTTTTACTGGTTCGGGTTCGGTTCGATTTGTCTTCGGTGTCTGATAGGTATATCGTGTTTTACGTTTTAATTTCACAGAGATTGCGGTAACAGTTTTTTTACTTGTAATAATTGAGTTGCTTCAGATAATTTTTTTTCTTTCATTAATAATGATACTTTTGCTAATGGAATACTGTCATCAGTATTAGCATTTTTTTCTACCATATTATCAAGAATACGTCGAGCGGTCTCATGCTAAAATAAAAATCAACAAAAAAAAAAGAATATATTTTTTTATTGATTTGTTTGTTTTAATATTAACCTGTCCCGTGTGAATAGCTAATAATGCTTCGTTAACTTGAACAATTTTCTTTTGAAAAGCATTTAATTTTGGTTCAGTTTCAGGTGCTGTTGCTACTTTTATACGTTTACGTGAATCAAATAAATTTTGATCACGATTAAGTACAGCTAAATTATTTGAAGCAACTGCAATAATAGCTAAGTCTGTTGGTCTATAATATAAAATAAGTGAAAATTTGAAGAATACATCAATAAATTATACTTTGATTTGAGTACGTCATTGTAGAGTGTTAATGCTTCGACATTTTTATCTTGTTGTTGAAGACAATAGGCTAATTGTACTCTAAAATATAGACAGAATAAAAGATCATTTATTCGTTAGAGAATTTACAAAGCAAAAAATATCTCTATAAAAAGTTGTGATGATAATTTTTAAGAATCAATGTTTTTGCTGATGTCATGGTCATCTTATGGAAAAATTCATTATTCTATAGTCCAAACAATCAAAAGTAGAAGTTGGAATTTTACTTTTTTTCAATTTCATCATGCTGTGTTGTCTTGTTTTTATATACTATGGATTGATGTGGATCGGTCAAATATTTACTATTATAATGCTATAGTAGTCCTCTACCTATGCTGTATATCTTGGAATTTTGTCTTGGTGTATATGTGTATGTATAATATCAACTGTAGTGATTCTTATCATTTGATTTTTATTTGCACATTGGATTTTGTATCACATATCTTTTTTTATCGTACGTATAAATGACACTGTGTATTAATATATTGCGGGATAACTTTTTATATTACACTTCCTTTATTGTACTATGACACATAAAGCTCATCTGAAGGTATGGTGGCTATGATCTCTCTATATGAACAGGTCAATTCTATATGTCATAATACAATAAAGAAAGCGTAATATAAAAAGTTATCCCGCAATATATTAGTACACAGTGTCATTTATACGTACGATAAAAAAGATATGTGATACAAAATGCAATGTGCAAATAAAAATCAAATGATAAGAATCACTACAGTTGATATTATACATACACATATACACCAAGACAAAATTCCAAGATATACAGCATAGGTAGAGGAATACTATAGCATTATAATAGTAAATATTTGACCGATCCATATCAGTCCATAGTATATAAAAACAAGACAACACAGCATGATGAAATTGAAAAATAGTAAAATTCCAACTCCTACTTTTGATTGTTTGGACTATAGTAAAGTAAAAATGAAAGATCAACTATTCTCAATGTCTAACTAGAATTGTAAGCTAACCAATTGAATTTTCGCCACTATTACCGCAAGTGATTACTAAGTATATCAGTCGACATCGACATAAATCTTTAGGTCGACTTATACCGCTACTTTCCTAACGTTTTAAATGAAAAATTTTATAATTGCGAGACTGACTGCTATTTTTCTTTCAATTCAGAAGCGTAAAATTTACCGCAAAAATAAAGAATTTTCTCGAAAACTAAGTTTTTCTCGAAAAATTTATTCTAACTGCTAGAATCATATATATACTCATTGAAACTTGACTAAATCTAGGAAGTTGTAGAGATCACTAGTGTATTCAATTAAAATCTAGTTTATCTATGTAAGTTTCGATTATAAAAAAAGAAAGAATCTTTTTGCTTATGTTTTTTGAGAAGTATTTTTTTATCGATGTTTATTTCTTTTCGAATTTTACTTGGTTCATAGATGATATATTACTGTATTCCCTGTAGTAGAATAACAACGGCCTTTTAGAATTTAATATTGTAAAACTTTAAAATGTTACTTCATTAGTTCTGACCCGTACTAGTTTGAAATCCAGATCGAATTCGTCAATAATCGGTATCTATTACATCTCTGACATAAGTGCATCGACAATTTTATTCGTTAGCGACGTCATTTCGTCAAATAAAATGTGTATATCTCTGGATTCTAAACTGTGTTTTGGCTAACTATTACGTATCATATGAATGTTGAGTTATTTCAAATAATCTGAAAGATTCAGTTCTATAGACTTTGATTTCCTTGAGTTATTATGAAATAACTAACATTAGCAACATAACACAAAAAAGGACAAAGTGTGTCACTGCGTGAGTTTCCACTTCAAAATCCTGCGAGTTCAAAAAGTATGTTTTAAAATTAAATAGTGTATTTTTTAGAGGACTTTTCAGATTATAAAATCTCTGTGGAAAGTTTTTGTCTGAAGATGTTTAGATTTTCCAAAAAATTAAGTGTATTTGCTGTCCGTGACATGATTTAGTACGAATATAAAAATGAAAAATCGTCCGGTAATTGAATGAGAAGTTCAAAAATCAATTTCAAATTATACAAATCCTTCTTAAGAAATTCAAAATGATAGTACAACAAAAAGTCTCGTTCTGTTGCATGAGTAAGTTCCAGAAAAAATCAATTTTACTGAAGCATTTCTTGTAGGCGAATCTTGCTAAAAATTATAGTTTGTAGTATGAAGTCTATTTTGAAATTCTTGAACTTTTCTGTCATAAAATTAGAAAGTTATTAGATAATTACATTTTAATTAATCAACTAATCACATTGTATTAGATATGAATTGTAAGATCCAATATGTTTACATATAATCATGGTAAAAAAACTTGTTTAAAAAAATAGTTCTTATAAAAAATCAAAGTCGAATGGAAAATGATTTTGTTTCATCTTGGATAATTGTGTCCATATATAATTCTTTGCTTACAACGTACGTTTACAGAATAAAAAGTACAGTTAATATTATGAAAGTTTTTGTGGAACTCACATATGTTTTCGAAGAAAATCGTGAGTATAAATTTAAATCAAGATTTTGCATCTCTCACCTAGGTCCTCACTGCCGGAATCACAGCTCATTGGGCATGTTTTCATAGCAAGCGAGGACAACAAGTACTAGACTCCTTTCCCAGAGTTTCTTAACAACAGAAAAAGGTTTTGGACGGATTTAACATCAAGATTAAGACTGTTTTAGAAAGTTCTAGAACTTTCTAAAATTCGCGTCGATATTTGAATGACTGAAGTGCGTTTGTGAATGTTGTAAATAGTGCAGTTGCTGATTTCTACCCAGATAAAAATTTTTATTCCAGATACCAAGGATGATCGATAGTGATGCATTAATTTGTTATACTCATCATATGATCAACATCAAAAGCGAGAATCGATCAAGTTATAGCTTTGGAAAATAATCAATATCAGTGTTTGTGAGCTTATTAACATTTATAATAGTGTGTTGAGACCTATTGTAGACATCATAGATATTTACAACAGGTCTATTTACCAGTTAAATCAATGGTAAGAAAAATGGAATACGAAAAAGATAACAACAAAGCAAACAAAAAATAGAGTGTTAGAAGAAAAAGAAATAAGACAGATCGTTTCTCTGACGATCGATTATCCTTAGAAAACAACTGTAATCTATTGGAGATTTTTTGCTTCTCATATTTTCTATTAGAATAATAAGGTTAAAGATTACATGTAAGTTTTACATTTCATCTGTAAAGAGGCTGTGCTAACAATTTTTTTTTGTTCTTATTTATATGCGTCATCATCAACAACAACGGCAAGCATTACTGTATCTCAAGTTTTCTTTTCAAAGCATTTTCCATACAATTTTTCATAAACTTAAGCTTAAAGATTTTTGTCTGATCTTAATTTCTTTTTTACTGTTAAGCCGATTTCAATTGCAAGAAGATTGTTTTTCACCATATGCTTGAGAAAGCTTTTAGTGTTTTAAAGCTATAGATCACAGCGATTAGAAATTTAACGAAAACAAAATGCGACAGAAGCAAAGACAATTTATTGTAGTGAAAATTAATTTGAACGTAAATCATTAAAAGAAATAGGAAAAGAAGTTATTTTGAATGTAACAATACCATCTCATTCCTTATAGATAGGAGAAAGAAGGAACATAATACAACTAACTATTACAAATAAATATACAAAAAAACCAAGTGAACAAAAGAAATCTTTTAATAATTTTACGATTTTCTTCTTAATGGAAATATACTTCTCGAAAACTTTTAGATATACAACAATTTTCACCAAATGCACATTCACACGTATCAGTAAATTCTACACGTCTATCTCAAATCCATGTCCTTCGGGTAGCTAATGTAATACGTTTACTGAAATATTCATCTATCCTCAACATTCATCAATATAAATGAAAATGCAAGCAATTATAAATAACATTTAATTTACTTGCGGAAATTATCAAAGTCGGAAATAGATAAATAGGAATTTCTAGTTCTCATTCATTACTTGCGATCTTTCAACTTAATAGAAGCCTACACATAGTAAAATGACGTTTGACAGTTGAAAGTGTTTTTTTCTTATTAATCATTTGTTTTATATGCATCTACTTAGACATTATGATTTTTCTATTGCTCAAAAAAACTTTTGATAAATTACATTTTTACAGTAAAATAAAGATGGAAGACACATTCTTCGTATTATAAAATAAAGAAATAGTTATTTAATATAAGAAAATGAATATTTTTCGTTAAATCATTAATTCAAAATCATATATTGAATAGTTTTTAAAAGAAAAAGAAAATATTTACCGAATATTTGCAGTTTCACGTAATATTTCATCTTCATTCATATCTCCTTCTTCTTCCAATTCACGTCGACATTGAGCTAAATAAATCATAAATAAGTGAATATGAAAAAACATATTTTCTCAACTATTAACCATCAGCCTTTCGAAGTTTTACTTCTGCTTCAACATATTGACCCGAACTAAGAAGAACACATGCTGAATTGTATGTTGTATCATATGTTTCATCACTTAAATCATTGGATTCCTAATTTAATAAATAAAAAAGTTTCTTTTTCTAATTCTAAATTAATTTATTATACCATTTGAATTTTGCTTGAAGAATCTGTTAATTTCCATGTTGCTAAAGCAGCAATAAAATTTGCATGACGTGTTGATTGATATTCATCCTGATTATTTTTAAGTAATGAACGATAATATCCAACACATTCATTATATTTTTCAAGTTTAAAAAGCTTTTTAAAAAAAATTAAATTATGAACAATAGAAAGAAAGAAAGAAAGTAAACAAGATTCTCAACAAACCACTTGAGCAAGAAGTTCTTGTTCACGTTCATTTAATTCTCTGTCAATACTTTTTAATGTACTATAAGCATCTTCAATACGATTAAGACGATATTCACAATAAGCACGTTCAAAAAATAAATCTCTAAAGAAAAATTTTCTTTTATTAGAAAAGAACAAAAAACAAAAGACTTTAAATTCATACGCTGTATCAATTGCATTTTTCACAATAGTATTTAATGCTTCATCGAATTTATCAAGTTGCATTAAACAAACTATTTTACAATGTGTTGCTTTTTTTTCATTACTTGAAATACCCAATACTAATTATTCAATATTAAAAAACAAAAAATAATCTTAAATTATATTTATTCACTAAATATACTTTTTCGTGTAGTTTTCAATGCTCGATCCCAATCTTGTGTTTGTCCATATTTTTGTAATTCAGCATATAATGGACGAATTTGTTCGTCAATTTTTTCTTGTTTTTCAGTAGTCATCTTGAATATAGAAAACAAATTTCTATAATTATAAAATAAACGATGTTTATTTAAAATAAAAGGCAACAAAAAATTTTATTTTTTAAGAAAGTAATCCTCGATTAGATTTTTGAGCAGCTCGATTTCGACGATTATGATTTCCTTGTGAAGATTTATGTGCATCTTTCCAACGTCGATTATGTATAACGGTTGCTGATTGACCGCGACCACGCACATTACCAGCAACATCACGTGTTTCTTCCGTATGTGCTCGATGTGGTTGATGACGTTGTTGCCAAGCTGCTCGTTGTTGTGCTCTTCGTTCACGAACTATTTCAGGATTTTCAACAAATTGCTCACGACGTTTAGTCTTTAAATAGTTTATTTATTATATATCTTAATAAGAAAAAACAAACATTACCTGATTTCCATTATTTTCTTCTTCTTCACCATCATCATTATCTATTCGTTGACGATAATGTTGAGGTTGTTTTCCCAATAATCTAATGAGAAAACAAAATAATTATATCAAAAACAAAAAGAATTTCATAAATGTCAAACCTATTTTCATTCTTTTCTAATTCATGATCAATTGTATCATCTTTATCTCTAACATTAACAATTCCATCATCATACGTATCATCATATTCATCATCATATTCTTCATCTGTTTCATCTTCAATAAGACCTAAACGAGAATAACGTTCGCTCATTCCTATTAAATGAGATTTGTCATCAAGATCTGCTGTTGAGTCTCGTGTTCTGAAAGAATTAATATTTATTCAGAAAATATGTTAAATGTTATTATGGAAAAATATTTTCACAAACTTTTTTCCTCGATGTATCTTTGTTAGATCAATATTATCTCGATTAAATATATCAAATTCATCATTATCATATATATTTGAACGTTGTTCAAGTATAGAAAAATCTTTACTAATAAATGGTATTTCATTTTCATTTGTAAAAATTGATGAAGGTAATAATGATGATGTTGTACTTGATGCTTCAAATTTTAAATGTTCAGGAACAGTATTATCAAATAGAGCATTAACAAGTTGTTCAGTATTGTTATTATAATGTTTAAGACAAACCTAGAGAAATAAAAGAGATTAGAACTACTAATTTTGTTTTCTATGTATTTATGATGAATTAATGCGTAACTTATTAGATTCATTAGATTATTGTTTTTCAGATTATGCTGGTAGACAACTGCTTAGTACATTTTGAGTTTATCACAACATCTTCTCGTTTCTTCTCTATATTAGCACAATATTTAGTTTATTTTTTTTCTATATGTCAATATTCGATGTGAACAAAGAACAAAAATGAGAACCAGTAACAAGAACAGCAAGTCGTCTATCAATTGCCATGTGTTGCCCATTATAATTTATTGTATTTATTAGGTTCGTTTATAACGCTTAATAACTTCTAAGTCGCTTGGTTCATATACTTGACATCTCAGTATTCATATTCGATCTAACAGGAAAAAAAATAGAAGAACACAAGCAAAACAACACTCAAGAAAGTCTTGTCTATTTCATGAACATGACCTTATTCTATCTTTTGGTATTTTTTATCATTACGAAAAATAGCAATTTCTTCATTTTTGATTTTTTTTTTTACAATTATAACTCCAAAATTATCAAATAATATCGTTAATAAAAGATATAATCTCTTCTTTACAACTATAAAGAAATATTTGAACTTTTTCTCACTGCTATTTTTCTTCTCTTTTTGCTTCATTTATATTTCATATAAAAAAAAAGATTTATTTCTTCCTCTTTGTTTTTTCTCTTCTTCTTCTTCGTCTTAACGAATATACTCGCACGTTTGCACCATACTTGAATAGGTAGCAATGATAATAATGATTGAATGCACCACTTCACGCATTTATATGTGTTCGAAAAAAAAAAACGCAATCCTCTTCGTATTCTTTTCTCGTTTTTTTAAAAAAGTATGCTTAACATTTAGAACATGTTCGCCATTTAATAAAAAGAATCTAATCTTAGACATACGAAAAACAAAACAGAAAAAAATGGGTTCTAAACCATCAATACCAGATTCAATTAATGTTGATGAAATTATAAATAATACAGGTAAATGAACTTTTTCTTCTAGAAAATCCTATTGAATAGATTATGATTAAATTAGGTCTGTCAAAAAAACAAGTATCTTCATTATGGACTCGTTTTAATGAACTTGATTGTGATGATCGAGGTGAAACAAAAGGATATAAAGGTTATTTAGATGGTAATGATTTTGGTCGCGTACCAAAATTTGATGAAAATCCTATAGCAACTCGATTAATAAAAGTTATTTTGGATGATTTTGGTTCAAATGATAGATTAACATTTGCACAATTTGTTAATTTTATGAGTACATTTAGTCAATGTGAAATAGGTGGACATGAACATCATCATCGTCCTCATCATCATCATCATCCTCATGGAAAACGTCGTTCATCAATTCAAGTATTAACATCAAATAATACGCCTCGTCTAGGATCATCAACATTAAATGATGTTGAGAATGTAAAATATTCTCCATATGATACACCAAAAACACGCAAAATTAAATTTATGTTTCGTGTATGATTGAATTAGGTTCCGTTTTTTATTTAATTAAATGTTATTAATTTAGATGTATGATGTAGATCGTGATGGACGTTTATCAAAAGAAGACATTCAAGAAACACTTAAACTGATGGTAAGTTAATAGAAAAAAAAAAACAGTTTAAATCAATATGTACATTTTATTATTAATAGGTTGGTAAAATTAGTGATGATGAGGCATCGATTATAGCAGAAAAAGTTCTTGGAGAATTTACTGATGAACAACCTAATTCAACTGTGTCACTTGAAACATTTGAAGAAACACTTCAAACACTGGATTTTATGGACAAAATGGGTTTAAAACTATTGAAATAATCTTTCAGTTTCATTTCTTTGGTTTTTTTTTTACTTTTATTCAACTTACTTGAATATATTTTTCATCTAAATGAGGAAACAAATCCTGAATCATTTGAACATTAGTATTTGTTGATTGTTTTACTGAAGTATTGGCAGAAGCAGAGCCTTCTGATGGCTAAAAATAGAAAATATTTTATGAGAGATTGTATATAAAATCGTTAAAAAAGTATTAAATGTAAATGACCTGAATAACCTCTGATTAACGAGGTTGAACGATACGAACCTTATACAACCATTTACGATAATTTACGATACGTAAACGGATCGTGTTCTGAGCGTATCATAATGAGATGACAGCTCATATACAGCCGTATTCAATAAAAATACGATATGGTGTTTTATTACTATCTACAGAATTACAAAAAAAGATACGGTCCGTTTACGTGCGATGATGAGCTGTAAAGAACAACATTACGACGAATATACAGATAGGTAGATCAGTCGACACGAATAAATGTTTTGTTGAATAAATTTACTTTTCAGAAAAGGCGACTATAAAAATTTGATTACAGAATATATATATATATATTCAGAATCAGCGTAACTTGAATAGTATTTCTGCTAAATATTTTGTTGGTCATTTTTAGAAAAATTGATAGATGACGTTCTGTCCTATTATCTTTAGCAAAGGAAATGTTATACTATTAAAGGGCATAAACATTTTTGACCTCTTAGAACTCATAGATTTTGAATCGAAGTCATGTCCCTGGCTTAATGTGGATGCGCCTAAGCCGTCTGTATTAACCACGTCAACTATTGTGGCTTAATTTTCGAGTTTACTTATTTATGATAATGATGATGCTAGTTAATGATACCAACGAAATAGAGAAAATTAAAATGGCTACGATGAAAATATGATATAACAACGTTGTAACCTATGCCTAATTTTTTTAAATAAAATTATCTTTTTTATTGAGCCAGTTATAACTTGACCCAAAACAAGTGCATCAATGGATTTGTGTTAGAAATGATGAAATGAGTAAATCGCATCAGCTTATAGATGAATTATGAAGTTTTTACTGTGTATCGTTGACATATCAATAGATAGCGTCATCTTCGTCATAGCCACGACAACATGTGACAAAGGTAGCACCATCTATTGATATGTCAACGGTACGCAGTAGAATTTGATAATGTATACACAATTACAGAGAGGAAGTCTTTCGCTAGAAGTCTACATATTTGTCTTTCTGCAATCAAAAATCGTCAAAAAACTTATAGTCGCTTTTAACTGATTTATTTAGAGTCAAAGAAAATACTTTGTGTACTATATGTATATAACGTCGCTTAAAAAAACCTATTAATGTATATACATATATATGTCTATTGCATTCTCAAAAGGATTTTTATATGATTTTAAAATGTTAACAAAGAACTCGATTGTATTTTCTGAATAGTTTCTCAAATGAAAAGAAAAGACGATCTGAACTGAACCAAAATGTCCAAGTGAAAATTCACCTTTTACTCTAATAACTACATCGGATTTTTAAGGTTTCATTAATAAATTTCAAAAAACCTGATAATATTAAATTTATAACGTATTCATTTTTAAAAAATTTTATATTAAGTGATCATTAGAAAATACTATCGTCTGATTTTAAAGCTCCATCGGATCCAAAATGCACTTTTGATTTCAACGAAATTTTTTTTGGTCTTAGTCTTCAAGTCGCTCCGAAGATGCGAAATACTTTTTATCAATTATTTGTATTCTGCTACTCACACACCTTAGAAAATTTCTCAGAAAATATAGGCGCTGATCTTCTAATACCCGTAGGATCGAGTCTGAAACCAATCCAACGGACTCTAATCAAACAATCAATGATGTAAAATTTAAGGCTAGTTTTAGAATCCAAATTGCATTTTTTATCTAAGTGTTTCATTCAATCTTCGTTCTGTTCAATGTATAATTGAACAATAGAATTTTGTATTAAATTTATATTTTTGTTTTTTCTAATAGTGTAAATTATTATAATCATCAATCGAATATAATAATTTTCATGTCATATGTATCTTTTATTATAATAGATTTGCAAAAAATATTCCCTAACT